TTCCTCAGAAAGACAGATAGGGGCTTTGTGTATCAAGATTTTCTTCAGCAACACACAAAGTATAAAGAAAATTGATGGGCTGTGTTTCCTGAAGATGACTTATGAGCACATTCTTTGTCTAACAAAATATAAATGCTAACTTCTATGGGGTTTTCTTCATAACAGTTAAATACATATGACCATGTATAAATTACAAGACCAACTGTTCCCTCAACTTGAAGAAAAACTGTTTTCAAGTGTCAGATCAAGAACCCAAATGTGAATCTTCAAGATCTTAGATCTACTCAAAATAGTAACACTGTTAGGTGTGGTGACATATCCATTTGGGAGGCTGAAGAGAATCTGAAGTTCAAAGACTGGAGATGTAGTATAGTCAATGCAAAGTCCTGGGTTCAATCCCTGTATTGGGGGAAAAGGATGAACTAAATTTCCCTAGGTAATGAAACTATATTCTATTTTTATAGATGACCTAATACACAGCTCCTTTCTGGTTCTCCTTCAAGCACATTAAAAATACTAAATACACTAAAGCACAATTAGCATATATGCTTTTCCTCACTCTTCACAGCAAGTGATTTTACCTGACTCTTCAAACTAAAACTACCAAAGTGACTGCAGTTGTCAGTCATGATACATCTAGTTTTACAATTCTGCATTCAAATGATGGCACATGAGCCTCATGATTATTCAAATTTTATTTCACTTAAAATCACTATTGAGGGCTGGGGAGATGACTCAGTGATCTAAGCACCTGCCTGGCAAGCACAAGGACCCAGGCTCAGTCCCCAGAACTCTGGGTGTGCTGTGACAGCCCCAAAACTGGGCGTGGTGGTACGCAACTGTTATCTCAGTGGTGAGAAGGCTGACGCAGGAGGATCACTAGGAGTCTGGTCTGCATAGTGAGAACCGGTATCAAATAAACAGGCTGGGAAAAAAAAAACAAAACACCATTGAATGAGACATGCTGTGTAAGGTATGTCATGGCTTCTTTGTAAAACCAGGTATTTGTGCAACTCTTTCCTACAGATTTTGTATTATCCACAAACCCTGATTTTGTTGGTGATGGGGGTGTCTGGAGACAGGGCCTCACTATGCAGTACAGGCTGTCCTTGAATTCACTATACAGCGAAGGCTCACTTAAAACTTGTAGCATTTCTCCTGCCTCACCCTGAGACATGTGCTACCACACTTGGCTCTGGTTTATTATTTATAATCTATAGTAATGTTTTGTCTGTGCCAAAGCCCTCTTGCCATGAAAAAAAAAATGGCTCTGGTTCATAAATGTGCGTCAACTTCTTCAAAGTCTTTTTAGAATATAGCTGAAAGCCTAGCAAGAAAAGACAACTGACAACATTACAGCTTTAACAATTCCCTTAGTAGAACTTGTTTTAAATCTTATGCACAAAAAATCATGTAGTATGTAATTCTAAAATGACTTTATTTTGTTCTAACTTTGTATTTTAGAACTATGTTCTAGAAAGTTCTAACACTTTCTAAAGTTATTTATTGGGACCTGTCCCACACCAAAATATCTTATGCAAACTCCCATGACTTCTGAAATGATGGAAGCTTTTTTAGTAATCAATACAAATTTGGGTAGGCCTAAAAATGAAACTGCACCGAGTGCCAAATGTTGGAGGTTGTATCTTGATGAAGTGCCCAAAACAGTATTACTACTTCCTCACCAGCCTAGAGTTGCGTTAAAACATCTTGTACATATTCACAAGCCCCTGACTCTTTGACGACTTAAAATTTAATAAATAAGCTGAGTTAACTTAACCTCGTTTATCAAAAAACACATTTTATTAAGACACATCATTTTGTTTCTTCCCTTCTGAGTTTACTTGTTACCCTCCGTCTAAGAAATTTTATTTGCCAGGGAATGGGAAACACTGCAGGGCGAACTATGGTCCCAAGATAACCAAATTAGAAAAATTTGAGTGAACCCAATGGCATGTACAAGACCACAGAATATTTCCATCAACAATTAAAATTAAGTGAAGACCAGCCCAACATGTTTCTTCTATACCTCTCCCAGTTGTATATATACTTGCAGTTGGTATCTTGGGGTATTTGTTTTTACCATTGTGGCTAGTTACTTAGAATGTATGCATGATGAAAAGGTAACAGATCTCTAAAGATTACAAGTGTCTATAAGCTGGTAAGTGGAACATAATGAAATGGAGGACACTCACAATAATTCTTGGACTCCTGGAGATCCTAAGACATGCTACAAAAATAGGTCTTTATTCTTAGGAAAATATAGTCAGAGCTAGCTTCCTTATGCTATACATAAAATCTTAACATCAGAGGCAGTACAGTATAGTACAGATAGTTTTAAACTGATCTCCAAACAAGCACAAACCCCACTACGTTGAAAAAAGAAAAACCAAAAACCAAACCAAAACAAAACAAAACAAACAAACAAAAAAAACCAGGTAATTTGAGGTTTTTGGCAAAAGACAGTACTTCACAACTCTAATCTAAATCAAAGAGCCTGTAGACAGTCTTCAGTGAGATGAAAGAAATGAAATAAATATAAATTCTATGGATAAATAAATGTAAAAGAATTTAAATAAGCTAACAGAACTAATTTTTTTAAATTAAAATACTAATCAGGTACAAGCTTTTGTTTCTCAATATTAGACTTCTAAATGTTTATCAGACTACTAATATTAAAAAAATCTAATCTTTGACCCAGAGTGTTAGTAATACTGATTTGCATTTGCAAATGATTGTATTTCCAACTGAATGCTTCTATTCTTGAAAAATATTTTAGGTATATTACTGAAGGCAGACTGTGGTGCTAATATAATTTATTAAATACCTTGAAAAAGTGACAGACCCCAAAAGTCCATCTACTAATTTGCCCAGTTAAAAAAATGTCTGAGTATTTAGTTCATAATTAGCATCATAAATAGTGGCATGCCCTATTGAGTGGTATGATTACAGAGTGACTACGCCTTAAACACCACGCCCACAACTGTTTCTTGTTACATATCATTCCTAATGTTCTTTATTAATTTTATACCCACCACTGAACTCCTATAGTCCAATAAAAAATTTATAGTTTACATGATTGGGGAGAAAACAATCATGGTGGGTTTTCCTTTTAAGTTTTAGGTATCTGAGCAATAACTCTAGAGTTAGCTCTCCCTCCTAATGCTTGAAGCCCTTCTACTTTCTAATTTCTCCCCATGAAATTCGGACTACCTGTTAATATTCTGTGAAAACTTGGTGGTCTTTTTGCTGTTTCTGATCAACAGTGACTTTTAGCTTAGCAGTGAAAAAAGACATTCTATCCATGTAATTTCATGTCCATGCCATTAAATAAGCATTTTTAAATATTTTATGTACAAATAACCTAGACCACCCCATCAATCCATTTCTGTTGATATTTTATGAGAAAAATGTTTCTAAGTCAGATTTTTCAGTAAGAATTAAAAAATGTCTCATGACATCACTGCCATAAGTGTGCAGTAACTCTGTATTCAATTCTCCCTTCATTTTAATGATTCAGTTGCAATGGCTAAAACTCTTCCATAAAAAACATATTTGGGAGAATATAAATAACACAAATTTTCTCATATAGCAACTTTCTGAAAACTGAGAAACTAAATTTATGATTATTTTTGATTGCCAAGTAGTCTGCAGAAACAAAATCTTGCGTCTGTTTTGGTTAGGTAACTGAAGTTCATTTTAACAATCAGAATACTTTAAAGGATACACTTTTCACCCAAAGGAAAGGACTTGACTAATGGATTTAAGACCCTTTCCTTGATAATATATACATAATTTCTTTTACTTGTCATCTGTCCATTCTTTGAAGTTGTCAAAGCCAAGAACCCATTAACAAATCACAAATAGCAATAACCTACATTAGTTAACATTCCCCCTTTTAACATGTTGACATTTCACTAAAGGATTAGTTATTTTGCATTTCCATTTCTCATATCCCATGACATTCCATATAAATTGCATTATTGCTTTATAGGCCACACAACATTCAAAATTATATGCATTGCCTGTTTTCCTTGATCTCTGATAAGTTTGATAGTGATTTTACTACAGAAATTTAAGTTTGAAAATACCAGTTAGTATTTCTTCTGAACTTAATTGTTCACATCACTGATCACTACATGCATATTTAGCTCTGATTATATTGCTCAAAAACTGCACCCATTATCAAAACAGTGCAAATAATATTTAATTTTAAAATTATAATGGCTTGAATTCAGTTATTCAAATGAACACTGTCAAGTAATTTCACTTGAGTGTGTATATTTCATCACCACTGTTTACATTACCCTTCTTTAAGCATTACCATCAATTCTTCACAATTTATTACTAACATCATTTTTCCCTCCCCCAGTCCCCAAAATAAAATTGCCAAATAGTCTTGGAAACCCAGAGTTCCACAGTTCAGTATTTTCTTAAAGAACACATTTGTGAACTCACAAAAGTGTTCATCAACTCTGACAATGCAGTTCTTAAAGTCAAACAAACCTGCCCTAAAATCCCAACAAATAATTGAGAATTAACTTAAAACACCTTGACAGTGTCCCTTAAAAAATGGTCTGACAGTTAAGTGGCAATAGGCATGGCAATGACCTCTTAGGTGGGATCATTTAACTCCTTGGACCTGGGAAATGCCAGCACCAAGGATTACACTGAGATTCAATTTTACTGAAGGCTACATTTAGTTTACCCACTTTCCATAACCTGTTATACTGATTATGTCAATGAAATGCAAATGTTTTTTGTGTAGCCCTCAAACTTACACTTGTATTTGAGAGGTGTACTTTAAAAAAGCACAGGGTAATATATAAAATCAGTGGCAGAAAGTTTCATTAAGCACCAGGAACAAATTTTTGTCACCCCATACTCATTTTGTAGGTAAGTTTCAATAACCGGCAAGGCACATTTACATATATTCCAATGAATACTTATTGACAGATTTTAAATTACACTCTATGTCCCAGCTATCCCAGTAACTGACATACAACATACTAAAATGGTTTATTAAGGTAACAAAAAACCAATTAATGAGAAACATACAGGCTATTGGCAACCACTATTCTAAAAGTATGTAAGTACAAATAAACATACTGAAATGTGTGCAATTCTAAGTTTTTAAACCAGAAGATTTCTATACTAACACACATTTATATTAATGACACATAAAAAAAATAAAAACTTTATTACAAAAATAAGTTACACTCGCCTCCAGCTTACAGTATAAAACAATTTTATTTGCAGGAATGCAAAATGATTGTTTGCCATGAGCATTTTGAACATATGACATGACTAATTTTCTTGTTAAATTTGCATTTACTGGGGAACTGGTGTGTATAAAACCTTAATTAAGTATAAGCTCTGATCTTCCTTGTGGTGCCTATTGGGTATGTGACATAACTGCAGTATCCCTTTGGGGAAGGAGAAGGGATTTCTTTACACCAAGTCCTAATTAAACTATAATTTCACTTTTGACTTTAAGCTATCAACTTAGGACTTGGCAAAAAAATTTTTTGAGGGTGATTCAATAGAGGATGCTTCACCACTGAACACTCACTGTCATCAAGGTGCTTTAGAAAATTAAAAACATAGCACAAATGATTGTACTCTATTCTACAAGTTATCATGACCTGCATAAGAAATGGAAAGCTGACTCACATTTTTACAGTGATCAGCAGTAAGAAATGCACTAATGAAACATACCTTTTACCTAAAAAGCTAAACTACAGCCATATACTAATTTCTATGATTTATGAAAAAACTTCAAAATATCCAAATGTCAGGCTTTGCTGTACAATTGTCAGTTTTAGTCTGACGTTTTATAAAGGGACACTGCAGTATTTAGTACAAGTTCGGATGCACTTTTTTTTGAACATCTGATGTCTTACAAAAGTAACATCTTGCTAAACTATTATACATCCAAATAACTACAATATCTGAAGAAGCAAGGCTGCTTTTTCAGCCACAAAATACGACAAAAGCAAGGCCTGTTATGATGGTCATGAGGAAGTCTTACAAGCCTCTGAAACTAAAGGCAACTAAGAATGTTACATTTGGTATATTAAAATCTTACCCTCATATCATATTTAACAAGCCTTGCTTTTATCTACAAAGATTTTCTATGTACAGTACAGACAGGGTATAGTTCAATCCTCTGCTACTGAGGTAGTTAACCAACCCTTTAAAAAAGGTTCTGAAAAGAACCACTATCTGGAATGCCTGACTAACCAGCTCTGATGATTACACCTGAAACTGCATATCTGAACACAATTCAAAAGTGATTACTATAAAAAAGATATAGACAATCATGATTAACCTTGGTGAGCAGAAATAAAATTTAAGGATACCAACAGTGGCATTCATCTATACCACTGCAATAAAATTTAAATGCACAAATTCAAGAGAATATTTCAGAATACCACTTCTGGCATCCTTAATTTAAAAAAGGGGGTAAAAATCTACTTAGAGCAGATTTTTTAAAGAGAAGAACTTTATTCTTTATTAAGATACCATGCTAGAAGTTATGAAGGATTTCTGTTGGAACACATTTGGAAAATAGAATAGCTTTTGTTTAATAACTTGCACTGCAGAGAAAATTGTTAAAGAAATTCATATCAAAGTCCAAGTATTAGTTCAATGTCCTGTATTTGATTCCATGATCTTCACAGGAAGGTCTTCTGCAATAGAATATGCTCCTATACAGCCGAGATATTTAAGGTTGCTTGATTTCCTTACCATTACTCCACTGCAAGCTTCTGGTGTAATCCCACATAGCAAGTCAGTCTTCATTGTAACAGGTCAGGACCGGCCTCGACCCCTTTTCCCTGCTAGCCAGGTAACAAAAGGAATGAGTTAGATAAATCATTTCAAATTAATTTTGTGTATATAAATGATAACATTAAAAAGAAAAACTTTAAAGTAATTCTTAAATATAAAGTCTAACCAAAAAAACTTGCCTTTAGTAACTAATAACTTTATTTTACTTGTTTGTTCACCTGTTTGGAGTTGAGGTAGGTATTGGGGCAAAAGGGGAATGACTGAGTAGAGGTGTGAAAACCCCCATCCCCCTTTTTCTAACACAAACTGGTTTTATTTGAAAAAAAAAAAAAAAAAAAAAAAATTAAACCTAGGAGAAAATCTAATAGAATTTAAGATCTGTGCCCCCATTAAATTGCCAATTCCCACGTAATATGCCGAAAGCAAACATCTGACATTTGTATGACCTTGACATTTAAAAAAATCATTCTTTAAAAGTATATTTTTCTCACACAGCCTTACTATCTAATGTAAAGCTCTAAAGTTTGGGGGAATAGAGGTTCAAAAGTAGAGAGTAGCTTTAAACCTTTTTGCTGGTGGTTTACAATCTGCCCCCAAAATTCTCCCAGCATAACTGTTAGAAAAACCGAATAGCCAAAGCAAGAT